ACCGATGATGTTATGTACCTTTGGCTTGGTCGCCAGCTCCCAGCTCACAGAGCAACCAGAGCACCCTCCAAAGCCCTCCCTTTTGGGTTTCGCTCACAATGGCCCAGATTGCTCACCAAGGCGCTAGTTTTTCGTGCTCCGACGCTTTCGACGTCTCTAAGGCTTCAGCCAAGACATCCAGCAAAGGACCCACGCCTGAAATCGGCGACTCTGGGGAAGTCAAGTGAATTCACTTGACTAGTAGCGTCTTTTGCTCCTAGCAGTACGGCCAGGAGAGTAGCGTCCTTGCTCCTAGTAGTACGGCCAGGAGCCCCTAGTAGCGTCTTTGCTCCGAGTAAGGCCAAAAAGGATCGGATCTCCGATAGTACTGGGCACGGTTGGAAGGGAGGAGCATCTCCAAACCATTCCAAACCATATATGGGCCGAAGAAAGCACTGGGCAAGTTTACGGTGATAAATGTGCGAGAGGCAGGTAAGCGCTCGGAAATTGGCAAGACCCATAAGCTTGTGAAAGGATCAACGACTATGGGTTGAAAGAGAGTGCTTACGGAGGTTATTCCATTGACACGTGGCGCACGAGGGTTTTTGCAAACTACTGTGTCCTCCTTTAACCCTTCCAGCCACGGCACTGAGTTCTGCTAGGTCTTCAGGGAAGTGGGACACTTCATCCTCCAAGAAGGACCTCAGTTCCACCTCAATGTCCTGCAGGTTCCCCGCCTGTAAGGCTTGCTGTAGCCGCGAGTCACTGTCCAGCTCCTGAAGGATGAGGTCCACCAGTGCCTGTGACGAGGCCTCATGGAGATCATCAAACATGGAAGCCCGTACTGGTGAGACATGATCGTGTGACTTGAGCTGAGACGGCAGACGCGCAAGGTAGAGACAACACGCAGGGAGTAGAAATGCTCGGGCTAGTGCTGGCACAGTTACAAGCCTACAGGCAGCCTACATGCTACGTGGTGCGTGCCAAAACGACACTTGTCCCTCACAGAGCTGCAGCTTTGATCAACGCCGCCACTCCCAGCGTCGCCAAGGTACTCCGGCCGGAGCACGTGCAGCTCTGTCTGCCCAACTCATGCCAGCATCGGGGTACACCTGCATGAGTATCTTCACGCATTAGCCAAACTTACATTCATATATATATATATATACATATTATATATATATATATAGCATCTTACAATTTTCCTGATTAGGGTCCATGGGGCCAGAGGGTGGAGGGAACCCGTTCAGCTCGCCAATTCACCAATGAGCAAAATGCTGCAGGTTGTTCCACACCAAACGGTTGGTACTCGATCTGCCACCGTATCCCGTATCCTAGATTGTCGCTTTCCCTGCCTGTTGTGGTCTTCGCTCCAACTGTTCAACTTGTTGAGCCTGACTTGGCAGAAGTATGGTCCAGCAGTTGGTCCAGCATGATTGTACGTAAATTGCGGTACTGGTGTTCAACCATGTTCGAGCATGTGGGTGAGTTGCACAAATTCACGAAACTTAGCATTGAGATGCGCCGTGCCACATCTCACCTAGCATCCTAAAGTTTAAGGCAAGTGAATGTTCTAAACCAAGCTCACTACAGTAAAATCCCCGTTGGTACCGACAAAAAGGGTCTAGTCAAGGATTTTATTTTGATAAAACGGTATGAGCCAACGTCTGCAAGCATCGCTTCAAAATATTTTTTTTTGAGCAAGCAATTGTCAGCTTTTTTCTTATAGACAGAATCGAAAAATAAAGTTCACTGTACTAAACGTCTGCATAGAATGTCACAGAAATGCTGCACGAGAATAATATCCCTATAACCGACGTCTTCGAAGGCGTATACACACAAAATTATTTCCTGTGTGCCTGACGTGCTTTTGTCAACTGTCTGCTGTAAATTTTTTCCTGTGCTCCTTACGTGTCCTGCAATATCTCAAAATCATCCCCGTCTCTGTATGTCTCTGTCTTCCTCACACCAAAGGCTCTCCCCGCATCTCCCTGTTCTCTTCCCGCCCTACAGTATCATCAATATCTACAATCGTCACTGCTCGAAAATGAACTCTTTTTCTCTCTGTTTCTTGCACGAATGAATGTCCAAGAAAGCTCACAGCGATCCCAGCGGAATGTCCAAGACAAGCTTTTTGAATTCCTGGGCTGGCAGGCTTTCACAGTTTGGATTTACTTTTTAATGAAAACGCACACGCGAAAGATCCCCAAAGAAAAACATGAAGGCTGATAAGGCTGAAGGTGTGGAGAAACCAAGTCTCGAAGCGGTTGGGAGGGTTTGCCATCAACTGGGAACGAATCTTCGAGAAGATGCCATGCAAACCCTTGCTGTAGGTCTCTGGATTTCGCACCTGAGCAAAGAGATTGGAGAAGTACTCTGGCGTACGCTCGATGATGTCTCTCATCTTGTGTTTGGTCTTGCCGTCCTTTGCCACGATGAAGCCATCCTTTCCGGCCAACGGCTTCGAAGCAAAAACCTTGAGGTCAAGCTCAAACAAGGCGGTCATCTCCTGCACGATCGCTTTGTGGCCATCCCTGCTGCGGCGGAAAATATGTGGCAAACGAAGTGGCTCGTCCTGGGACTTGAGGCTCTCTACCACGGCCGCGCACTTCTCCATCGATTCGGCCTGTGTCATGGATTTCATCTGCTTCAAAAGAGTTTGTCCCAAGGCCCTCTTCGGATTTTTCTGCATGGGCTCCTGCGAATGCACCTGGGACTCCTCAGTGATCTCAGTGGTACTATTGGATTCCATGGCCTTGCGCTTCCGGCCCCTGGTCTCCTTCAAATTCGGAACAGGCGCAAAAGTCTTCGCAGCGCCAGCTTTGGCAAGTAGTTGGGACCACCCAACCCATTGGTGCGCCGACTGAACAGCTTCCAGGGAAGCTGGGTGCAAGTGGGCTTCAAGCTTTTCCAAAGATCGTGAAACCTCACACTTGAGCTGAAGACCAATGCGTTCTTTGGCCAAGACCATAGCGCGGTGCCCACTCTCAGCCACAAAGATTCCTTCCACACCTTCTTTTGGTGTCATGATCACTGCTCGAAAGGAATGAAGAGCATGCACAGGAACTGGAACGTGCGTCAGGCGCTTCTTATTCTTGGCCCATCTCCAGGTGCACCTGGGAGAGAACACACCAAACTGTAAGGAATTAAATCCTAAAATCATCAGCCAAAGCAACCAATACTCTTTGAAATGTAGTCATCACAGTGCATTCCCCTGGAATTTATTTTATTCAGATGTACCCATTCACATAAATAACTCCGTTTAACTCGTTTTGTTGAGTTTTTGGTCTAGAAAAAAAGCAAAATAAAATCCACAATGTCGTAGTGCCATGCATTTCTTTTGTTTGTGTCCCTCTGTTTTGAATATGGCGCAAGAATTTAATTTATATATTCTATTCCTGGATCGCTGCCAAAGCACAAAACGCAAACCACTTGCCACTGAGCTGGCTTTTGTGGCGGCAACGCCAGCAGCACGTCTCCAGTAGAAAGCGTCTCTGGAACAGGCACCTCACCTTTGCCCAACTGCTCTGCCATTCCCTTGGAAACGGCACACCATGCAGCCATTCTGGAAATCCGATTGCCTGAAACGCCTTGGTCTTTGCGGAGCATTGCGGTTTCATGTTCCAAAGCTTGGTGCCAATTCCAGCGACGATTGGCCCGGCGTAAGTTTTCGGGCCGGGGGAGGACTTTGCGATCACATCCTGCACGGAGGTTCACTACCAGCTTCCACAGCTGGGGTAAAACATCATCCAAAGCTTTTGGCCACATTGGACACTCGCAAAAAACCTCGTTGAGAGTGAGGGCCTTGGTGAAGCCAGTGCAAGTCTTTCGAGCTTTCTTATGTTTCTCAGTGTCTGCATTATTTTTTGCAGCCACATCATCCACATCTGTTCCATCTGGCTTATCTGGCTTGAGGTCTTCATCAACCTCAATGTCCACACACTCGAATAGGGCTTCCTGATCGGGGATGTCTGCCTTCTGGCCAAGTTGGCTGGGTGCTTTGGAATTCCGACAGGCGTGAGAATCTGGAACATCCACTGGACACTCTTCCACGTCAAACTTCTCACGTGCCTTCAATTGCTTCAGAAGATTGAAGCACTCCTGGTCGCCAGCAGCCAAGGTCTCATCGTCTACATCGACATCTGCAAATTCCTCACCCATATCGACCTCGTCATCCTCATCAAAAAAGGGGGCTTCATCAAACCTACGCTGGGGCGACCCAAGCGCATCTGCCAATGCTGAAGCGGCCGATTCCGAGCTTGCAAAAGCGATGTGTGCCTTCAGGAGCTTGGCTGGTGAGTGAGATTCAGAGCAAAGAGACATCAGCTGAGCTGCGCTTTGCAGGGCCCGTTCAGCGCAATCACGATACTCCTAAAAGATCCAAAAGGCAAACAAATATAACAAACCAAACAGCAGACTATATCATCGATGCGTTGGTTTAGATTTTGATTTTTATCTTGAAGCAAAACATGATCGAACATGCTTTCTTGATAAGCTTGATATTTCAGTCCTGGGCAGTCACAGCTTTATCCGATGGCTTGCAGGGCAAAACTTTTGATGCTGAGTTGGCCATATGCTGAAAGCTTCTCATCTGCTTGACGCTCGCCATGCAAAAGTCTCGGACAGACATCATGCTAGATTCGAATTGGTGACGAAGGTGTCCAAACCAGGACTCGATGTTGATCTCGCTCATGGACTCTGGAGCAAACAACATACCTGATGGCCAGTTGAGGCACATCAAGCAGACAAAAGCGCACAATTGTTTGTAGTTGCCGCAGGTGACCTTGTTGACGAAAAGTGAGCCCTTTCTCACTCCGAGGCGGGCTGCTTTCTCGTCCGAGAGCAACTGGGCCATGTCGATCAAAGAAAAAGTGGTGAGAGCCAACTCTACCCGCTGCTTCGGATCAAGGCCAGGGTGTAGAACTGCCGCTTGGACCATGGCAAAGATCAAGTTCACAACAAGGGCGCCTTTCAAGCACCAAGGTACCTGGGACATCTCAGATTTCTTCGGCCAGTTCATTTCAGTTCCCAACAGTCAGTCTGTTGCGAAAAATGAAATCGAACAAAAACAAATGAATCAAAAGATCGCCGTTGAAATCCTTCCCAGGAGCCCGGACATCACCTACATGATCCGGAATCTTGGTGACATAGTGGAATGGGTTCAAGAGCATGGCAGCCAAAAGGTCGCTTTGGCTGTCGTAGCCTGCATATGGTGCCGGTGGGAGGTCTAGCTCAGTGAGTCCAGAAATGTCCACAAACAAATCTCCCACATAGATCGAGCCGCCCCCCCGGAGGGCCGAACAGAAGTTCTTCTGCAAATGGAGGGGGCCATTGAGGCAGAAAAATGCATCTCCATCAATGAACGCTTGCGAAAAGTTCATGTTTCCAATCACACTGTCCGGCATTGTCTTGTAGGTGAGCCTGGAAAACCATTCAATCTCCGAGAGCTGCTTCTGTGAAACACACGTGGTGTTGCCAAGCAGAATTTGCTTGACCAAGGTGTGTGTTCCGTGGTTGTCGAAAACCTGAAGTGGCACAAAATGAAACCAAATATAACCAAATAAACTCCACAATTCTAGACCAAATATCATCAAATATAGAACAACCCAATATCTGTCAAAAGAACTCCCAGGAAAATATTGTTGCCGCAAAGGGGAAATTGGCACAAAATGAAACCAAATAAACTCCACAATTCTAGACCAAACATCAGCAAATATAGAACAATCCAATATCTGTCAAAAGAACTCCCAGGAAAATATTGCTGCCGCAAAGGGGGAATAAGAAGATTGAAGATATAACTCGTTTCAAGCATCTACATCACACAAAGATTTTTGAGAAATAGAATCCAATGTCATTCCAAACCTGGCATAAACCTTGTTCAGACATGGGTGAGATATGGTGAGATCAGGAAAAAAATCAACCTTTCAGGTCTTATACGTCAAGTTACGATGCAACGAATATAGTGTCCTCCGTGTTGCAGGATGGTGCCAAACAAAGAAAGCATTTGCTCAGCTGAAGTCTGATAGATCATTGGAGTACAGCAGAGACTGAATCGAGGCCTGCCCTTGACACAAGAAGCTGGGTCCCAAACCAGACACTCCATGATCTCATGAGCACGCGTGACTTTTGAAGTGTTCAGCACCATGTCACAGGGATCGTTTTCATCGTCCTCCTCTGAAGGCTCCCGCAACTTGATGTATCCATTGCAGCCTGGCCTGTCTTCTGGATCCTCATTCGGCATGTATGCGCTTCCAACCCAACACTTGCCAAGCCTGTTTTGGACGATGTCCAGGCTCTTGAGGGCATAGGTTTTATCTATTGCCATGACCAGCCTGCGACTTGGAGCTGTAGCTTCTTTCCGGAACATGGTCTCGATCAGATGCGCATTCGTGCCAAGAATCTCAGTCTCAAGGTTTGCCATGAATGGATCAGGGAGGCTTGCGGCATGAAGGTCTGTCATTTTCACTTTTCCTCCAGCAAAGGCCATGCCAAACATCTTCAAGACTTGCTTGTTTGACGCAGCCATTGACAGGGCTGCGCCGGCTTCAGCGACCAGCTCAAGCTCCCTTGGGGCCAGCTGTAGGTTCCGCATGGTCTGGACACCACGATCTCGACGTTCAGCCATGGCCAAAAAGGAGATCAAAAGTCCCTGGAGCATGCTGTGGTTTCGCAAAGCCCCATTGGCGACTTTGCAAGCAAGTTTCATTTCGATGTCCTGAACAGATCGGAGCGTTTGGTTGGAGAGATGTTTGGCCAGGACCTCACTCTGGACAATGACCTGCGAATTCCAAGTGTTTGAACTCACATCCACACAAGGTTTCACTACAGTGCACAGAAAGAGCTTGAAGGAGTCAGACTGGACCCTTGCAGGGACGCTCATGAAAGTTGAACGCACAAAGCGCTGCAAGACTTCCACTTCCATCGAACACACTGCCTCAATCTCAGCCTGGTGTCCTGCGTGATACATATCTGAACCCCTGAGCTGCGTGAGGACCTTCTCTACATCATCTGGTCTGAAAAGCCTTGCCCTCAAAAGCACTGCAGCAAAATATTTCGTAGCAAACCTGGTCAATGTCTTCACAAGAAAGCGGCTGTTGCCCAAAGACCAGCATTCCTGACAAATGACTCTTGAAGTTCCAGACTGCCCTGGCCTAGACACGCCCAGGGAATTGCAGTTTCGGTGCCTGATCGTGATGTCTCCTGTGTTCATGTCCAAATTGTAATCATGCAGCCAAGATGAATCAGTCTGCCGTTCAACAGCTAGATCCACGTCTCTGATGCCCTGACGGTTGTTGAGGCTGGCGTACAAGCTAAGCGTGTCTGGCAATTTGGTCACCTTCTGATTTTGAGGAGCCTCATTCAAACTCCAGCTTTGACATGGAAGCTTTGCTTCAAGGGAAGCGTGCTCACCATCAGGATCCTCAGGGCCATGGCCGAAATCATCACCGTCTGGATCATGGCGATCATCACGATGACCCCCAGATCCTCCAGGTCCATCACCATCATCACCGCCACCAGGTCCATCATTGTTGGCACCCTCTTGATTCTCCAACTTCCGTGCATTCTGACCATTCTTTTGTTTCTGGTCAGACATGGCCCTCACATGGCCAGCACTTCGCAGGTGCTGCAACAACAAACCAGGACTTCTCCCATTGATGATGTCAAAGATAACCTCTCCTCGTCTGGACCGCTTGCAAATGTTGCAACGAACAGGCAAGCGCTTGCCATGTAGGCCTGGCTCCAAGAGATCAAGTGTTGGTGTGAGGCCCCTAACCATGGCACAAACATCAACAGGCTTCGTAGTCTTCCTGCGCTTCCTGTCGGCTCCATGTGCGGGATCATCTTGATCATCTTCATCAGCGTCCACAGCTGCAAGATCAGAAGAATTTCCTGCGGTCTCAACATCCATGGACATCAATTCCTGACCATTCTCAGCAGCACCTTCGTCATCTGGGATTTTATTCTCATTCTGGATGAGGGTTAGCTTCTCAAAACTATCCACCATGCCAAAAAACTTGTCCAAAGAGGCCTCGTGAACTCCGCGGCTTGAGAGGAGTTTCAAACACGTGGAGCATTTTGGCAAATCTTTGTTCAGCAAATTCTGCAACATAGCACCCCATCCAGATCCCTCACAATGCGCTGCCCCCTTCAATGGCGCTGCTTTGCAATGAGCCCTGTGCCAATCACGATATGTGACTTTGCATTTTTCCGCAAGTACTGACGTAACAGCCAGCCGTCTCTCTTTCCGTTTTTTCTCCTCTGTGGTTTTCTTTCGATATGGCCTTTTGGGAGGAACTGACATCTCAATCAGTGACATCTCCTCATCTTCACCATCTTCACCTTTCACCTCCACTTTCACAACCTGAGATTGTCACATACTGACACAGCTGACACCAAATGACCCCTAGAAATCCCTAATATCTCCAGTCATCGTTAATCAAACAATCAAAAATACCTAAACATATCGAAACCAACCAAATCAAAAGATTCAATATCATCCAAATCGTGAGTTGTTTTTTGCAACTGTTCTCGCTTACAATGTTTTTTTCATTTTGCAACCAGCAAATAAAATCCACTCGTTCATAGTTCTGTGTTGCTTTACCACCATTTGCACAGTTTGGCTGAGGACCACTAGGAAAAAATTCTAAAAAAGTGCCAGTGACGTCACCACAGCCTGGAATCTCTTCTTTCTTCGCTTTGGTTTCCTGGCTGCCCGTTGCAATCACCTTCTGCTCTTGCATCTGATGCGAAGATTGGGATGTCGTAGCTGGACACTTCTCATCCTTATCGATCTTCATCTTCTCACCCTTCACAGCCACTTTCCCATCCTTCCCTGAAGAGGTCTCACTGGAGGTTTTTTGGTCTTTCTCATCTCTCTCCCTCTTCACGACCACAGACTTGTCAGCTTTGACCTTTTTCACTCCTTTGTCATCTTTGTTTGGATCATCTGGGTCATTCCGGTCAACAATCTTTGGAGTCTGGTTCTGTCGACCACGCGGAACGACCAATGGCAGTGTTCGTGCTCCATCTTCTGAGCGTGCTGCGCATTCTGCCTCACCGATGGTACCTTTCTTCTCAATCTTCTCATGCTTTTTGTGAGCGGTCAGGTTGGACAGCACAGTGCGTAATCGTTCTTCTTTCTTCGCAACTGATTCTGTTTTCATCTGAAGTCTGCCATGACCATCATGACCTTGTTCATCTTGTTCAGCATCATTGTTTCTCATGTTTCTCAGAGGTCCATTCCACAATTCATGCCAGACTGGATTCTCAGAGACAGAAGCCCAGTCAGCCGCCAAGGTTGCACGCATAGCATGCATCTCTTCAATGGTGCCAGCATCACTGGTATCTGCCATATTTGGGGCTCCCCTGGCCAACGCAATCAAAGACCACAAACCACAATTTCCATCACCTCTTGCTGGCCGCACAACCCAGCCATCTGCCAACAAATTGCCCTCTGCATCTTTCATTTGGTTCAATCGGTCCAGAACATCAGTGAGGTCGAGATGAATGGTCATTTGTTTACGCATCAGCTCCATGATACTTTGGATATCCTCTCCATCTGCAGACGCCATCTTGTCACCCAATGCTCTGCGTTGCTTGGCGTAAGCTGTGTCCAGCCGATCCCTGGATTCCTGAACCTCTGTCTGGGAGCACTTCCAGACAGGAACCCAATGATGCAACGACAAAGCGTCGTGTGAAGGACACCAGTTGATGTTTGTGAGCATGATGAACCAATCTCTTTGAGCAGTTTTTCTGGGCACAGGAAAATCAAGAACGGATTGCAACCCGGTCTCGGTCAAAAAGTCTACCAAAGAAACTGGCCGCAATTCTCCTGGTATGTTGGATATGATGCTGAGCTTGATGTTCTCCATGTGAGAATAGAGGAGAAGGTCCACAAAGTCAAGGTATACGCCATCTTGAGCGACCCTCTCAGCATGTGCCAAAATCTCTGCCCTGATATCTCTGCCTGCTCCACACGTTTCGACAAACTGGAAACAATAAACAACTATGATAATGATGATCAAACAGATGACAAAACAGATTGGTCTCAAAATAGTGCATTTGCTAACATCATCTGACATCCTAAATTTGACATTCTGATGTTCATGTGTCCCACATTGTCCCGTCAAGATCCTCTTCAATGCAGTCAGACAGACTAACCAATCCCCAAAACAATGATCAACAAAAATAACTAAAAGCCTGAGGATGAGATACAAATCTCAAATCAAGAAACAGGAACATGACAAAGTTCATGAAAGATACAATGAAAAACAGCAAAGATCTTGTCGTGTCCAGGTCTCCCACATTGTCCCGTAACTCTCGATGAA